ACAAGCAACGTCAGATTACGAAATCATGAAATTAATGATTAAATATGTTTTTAATGTTTTAAATTGAAGATAGTAATATCTTGTCCTCAAATTTTAAAAGTATAATTTTTGTTTTTTTCAATTTTATAAAATATTAATTTTAAGTCTAGAGACTAGATAAAATCAGTGAAATTATATGAAAAAATAGTAATTTAACAAACATGTATCTCGTTCATTCAAATAAGCCACATAATTTTTTAAGAGTTTGTTGAAAGATTTAATAAATTGTAGTCTTTTAAATTATGGATACTATTTCTTTTAGTCATCTAATAAAAAAAACATATTTTATCATTCAATTATTCCAAATGTTTATTTTTTATTCTTCAAATTAAATGGTATTTATATATTCATTATTTGAATTATCAGCAGTTTATTAAATCACCTTACAACATTTTATTAAAATGACAACGGGAACAAATGTACACGAGTTTAGTAAACACACTTATTATTTTTAAAAGTGTTAATGGTGCGAGTTGGTTCAATTCTTTTGTTAAAATAAACATCCATATAAATATATACAAAATATATTCAGTTTGAAAGAAAAAAAAAAGAACTTTAGCCCGAACCAATTTTGTATGATTTGGTTTTCTTGTAGTTTTCAATTTTTAATTCTATTTTTTTATTTTATTAAAGTTTTACCCTTTTTTTTACATCCTTCAATCAAAATACAATAATAAAAAAAATCAGTTAAAAACTGATTAATACGTTGAATAATAAATGAATAAAATCATAATATTTAATATTTAATATGATTATTAAAAAATTAAATTATATACTTTTTGTAATCTGTTCCAAAATAATAGAAGTAAAACTTTAAAATCAATTCGACAAATTTGTATTGATTAAAGCATGAATTTCAAGAAGCCAAAATGGGAAAATTTAGCTTGTATTTGAGCTGAAGAGTGAATTTGAAAAAGTATAAATGAGTGGATTTGAGGAGAACAAGAATTTGAAAATAAAGTTGTTTGGATTGAGAAATTTAATATTAAATTTTATAAAAATTAATAAATAATGTGATAAATTTAGTAAATTAAAAAATATTTTAATTAATAAAATATTTTTTTTTTGTGATTTTCATTGTTATTGTTTAAATTTACTTTTTATTATTTTTTTAATAATATTATTATTTATTTTACTATATTATTATTATTATTATTTGATTTATTATATTCGATTTTCTTTTAATCCATTAGGTTGATTTATTTAATAATTATGAAATTATATTTTAATATAAAAGTTAAAAGAAAAACATATTTTCCAGTCAGATATATGAGAGAGAGGAAAGTTAAATGAATAATTTTGTTTTGTTTTTTATAATTTATTGTTTTTGAGTTTTTTATTTTTTAATATTTTGTATTTATGCGATTACAAATTTCTCATTTGTAAAAACAAACACACCATTGAAGAAAATGTAAAAGTGAAATTATTTAGGATAAATCCATAAGCACAATTATTGATTTGGGATAATTAGATTTTGTAAAATAGAGTCTATTTCTATATGTGCTAGATGAGTAGTGTAAATTTCTGATTTTAGATGATTCTTACATTTTGTTCATTCGATCTTTTGGGTTTTTTATATATCTAAACTGGTTTGGATGATATTTTAAAAAAAGTATTTTTACGTTAAAATTAGTATGTGACTGATTAAAAAGATATTAAATGTGATTAAATATGAACAAATATATTTTAAACTTTTATTATAATAATTGTTATAGATTTTTACTTTTTATTGGTCTATTCATAATTAAATTATACTATAAACAACATTAATAAAATAATTTGTAATTATTATTAATTAAGTATTAATCTAACTTTCAATTTTAATCAATGATCCTATTACTCAATTTAATTGATTAGTCAAAAAGTGATCGATATCATCACTCTAAAATTGATCCACTCATGAGTATATATATATATATATATATATATAAAAGAATCCATCGTATCCTAAATATGTAACCTTCTAATATCACTAAAACGTTACTTTTCTTTGGATAATGATATTTTCACAACATTTTTTTTTATAATATTTTAACATCATCTATGTGTCATTCTGTGATTAGTTTATGTTAATGTTTATTGATTATAAAGTAATTTTAAACTAATCATATATAATGATACGTAAATAATATTAAAATGTTATAAAAAGAATATTGTGAAAACATCATTATCCTTCATTTATGTCATATGTAACATCATATGTAACAGGTTGGTTTGTGTGTGATGATAAAGCAAAATGAGGTACACTGGTTTGGTGGTGATTTGGCGAGGAACATGGCCACTTCATGTTGTAACAGGGAAGTAGGCATGGCTAACTAACCATTGCATGCATAATTGCTCATTATGAACACTCGAGTGTTAACAAAACATTTTCGGTTGTTAAGTTATCGTTTTATTGTTGAGAATGAATTTCATCCGCTCAAAATAATAATCATTTAAATAGGTACTTAGATTTAAAATTTAGATAAAAAAATTAAATGTTTTTTTTTAAATTTTAATATATTTTTTTCTTTTTAAATTCAAAAAAATAAATTTACATAATTAATTATTTTAATTTAACTGTGTCAACTTTTTTTAAGGGTTAAATAATGTTTCAAAATTTTATTTAAATTAAAATTTGTCGATGTAAACATTTCAAATATTAGTTTAAATATCATTTAACACTAAAAAAAATAATACTATATAATTTTAATGACTAAATTTATTTATTTTTAAAACTTAAGAATCAAATTGTACAAATTTTTTAATATATATTAATAAATTTTAATTTTATATCAAAATTTAAATACTAAAATTACATTTAATCATAGTAATTACTATCTCACCAATATGACTAAGTCAGAATTCAAGATAGATTACGAAGTAATCTAAGTATGAGGCAAATATTTTATTTAAATGACCACTGAATATTAATCAATGTATCAGAAATTCCAAACGCCATTGTTATATATTCATATCGATAATATTTAGATGTAAAAGTTAATTTTCTTTTGTTTACAGCTGCATCGAATTGGCTTGAATTTAACTTAATTATAATATTTAATTTGTAATATAAACTTTTTATCAATTCAAACTTTAAATTTTCAATTAAAATTGTTCATTTAAAAATAAAAGAATTCAAAAGTTAAAAAGTAAATTTTGAAAAAAATTTAAACACATAAAAGTGTATTTTTAACCAGAAAATAAAATAAAGCAAATAAAAAATAACACATGAATATGTGTATGCTTATTATCTGGCATGTTCAATTACTTTGATGGATAGATATTATGAAATATTTATGATTTACTAAACTAGTTTAAGACCTTTTAGTTAGTATCTTAAAGTTGTGAACTAGTTTTTGTTGTCATTCTTAACTTTTTCAACTTCAAGTACAATCTTAATATTTCTACTTATAGTATCTAAACGCAGTCACGATGGTTATGCCTAACTCAACTCCTAATTCAACAAAGTTAAATAGACAAGTTTACGATATTTAATTAAGTACTAATTATATAAATTATTATTTTATTGTAACATTTTATTTATATTTATTATTACTTTAATATAATATTTTATCATTAAAAATAGATATCAAGTGAGTATAAAAGATTATTTTTCGAATCACATATCCAAACTTACTCACCTTATATTGTATAAAAAATTAAAGTAAAAATAGCATTTTATAAATAGAAAATACTTGGTGTAGTATTCAGTATAAGAAAAAGATAAATATTTAATGTGATTAAAAGAAAAAAACTTATAAAACAGTTGACTATTGAAAGAATTTAAAATTAACGTTATAAATCCAGTGGTAAGAAAATATACATAGATACCCACCCAGGACAATCGAAATCTATCCAAATGAACGGTAGAGATTTAGATTTAAAATTTATATATAAAGTAAATATGGATTTTTAATCAAACGCAGTCTCCACAATTCCTGATATTGTAACGGTTTAAAACATCAAACACAATTGTATATATCCTCCTAATCTAATATTTTCCTCGCATCAATTTGAAAAGAAAATGAATGAATTTAATTATTTTAATAATAGGTAGAAATCGAATATATGAGGTAAATTAATTATAAAAAAGTCTTAAGAGTATATAAAAAAGTATGTAGTAAAAAAAATAAGAGTTTAATTTACCTTTAACAAGTCTTAAGTCTTGTGGTTCGATGTTAATTGAGAAGGATGAGATGTAAATATTACCAAATAAAATTGAAGACATTTGAAATAACAAATAAAATACAAACCTCAACGAATGATTTAAAATATATTTATCTTGTATGTACATAGAAAACTTTTATTACAATTAAATTCAAATAAATACATAATCTGAAAAGAATTCGGAAAGGTGATATATTAAATCATAATTCAAGCAATAAAGAAAAATAAAATCATTAAATTAAAATAATAATCAATAAAAAATCCAATAAAATAATAATTAGTCATAAACAAGACTCGCATATCCAGATCAACATCTGGGAGCACTATATATCAGCAAGAACAAATAAATATTATTAACCAATATTAAATTATGTTCTCTGCTCTTCACATTTAATTAATTAATTCTCCCTTAATGGCTATTTTACAATGAAAACTAAGTAAAAAAGTAAAATAATGATACTTAAAAGATAAAATGCATAATTAATTATTTTATTGGATATTAAGTTGACAAATTTAACCGTCCGTATCCAAGTTTTAAGGGGTCTATAGATTTCTACAAACAATGAAACCTTATTAGGAAGATAGGGATATGATATAGTTGTGTTTGGCAACCACATAATATCTTCCAAAATCTTACCTGATTTACATCTACAATTTCACCATTTGACCCGACTCAACCATCTTTCTTTAAAAAATATACAAAAGAAAGAAAATGTTAGTTAATTAAGGAAATGGAAGAATAATCGAATTCATTATTTTGATTCAAACACGGCGTTACAATTAGGTGTAGTGTGTTAATGGAAAATTTGTGTGTGCAATTTTCAAAATTCTCATTCTTCATGCTAATTCAACACTTCTTTCTAGTCATACCAAAACCCGCCACCTTCTTATGCAACCCAACACCATTTCTCACCAAACCATGCTCCTTCCATTTCATCACGCATCGCTTCATATGAATCCTATTGCTCTCTGCGTTTGTTGCGTTGTACGTCGCGTGATCAACCACCCTCTTCTGAGACGGTGAAGCTGCTGAAAACGGAGGCATCAGAAGAACAAAAAGCAGAGAATTCGAGAGACGAAAAAGAGATGTTAAAGAGCCCCAAAAAGTTTGTTGCTCCCGTTACTAAATGGGTCTGTGAGATTAATTGGCGTTTAACCGGGTTGATCATTCCTTTCGTTTTATTCATTATCTTCTTCTCTCTCCATTATTCCTCCACTTCAAACGGTTTTAACGCTTTCTATCCCGTTGAGTTTTTTCTCCGGCTCCCTTGTTCCGGCGAGAGCGACCATGTTTTGGATAAGGAGGAGTTGTTGCGGTCGAAAATTGCCGTGTGTTTGGTTGGTGGCGCTAGGAGGTTCGAACTCACGGGACCATCCATAATTGAAAATATCCTCAAAGAGTATCCCAATTCGGATCTTTTTCTTCACAGTCCGTTGGATTCGGACACGTTCAAGTTCTCGCTGTTGAAGTCTGCGCCAAATGTTGCCGCCGTTCGAATCTTCCACCCTCAGCCGTTGCCGGAGAACGAGTCTTATGTTCGAGTCCTCACCGCGCACAACTCACCCAACGGCATCCAGGTAATTTTCGCGTCTGTTTTTTCTTTCTTGCTTTATTGCATCTTTTTTCCTTTTTTCTGGATTCCTGAAAATACCACTTCGAATCAATTGTTAAAGATATATTCCATATATTTTGCTTGTTTCAGTTTTTAGTTTTCTTTTGAAATAACAAATAATCAAAATATGGATGGATAGTCTTAAGAACAGTTATCAGAAATTAATAAAAGAAATATTTACAGTAAATTAATTTTATCACCTATTTTTTAAAACTGAGGATTTTACGAATATTGTTTGGTGGAAGAATTTGAGCGAGTTGCTCGGTCACCCTTGTTGCACCTTTGCAGACGTTGTCATATCAGTATCGAATTCTTTTCCTTTTCTCCTCCTCCTACCCAGTACCATTTTGGATGCTATCGTAAAAGAAAAGAAAAGTAAAATTCATATAAAATCTTGACTTTTACATTTCATCTTCCAAAACAATTCCATGAAATCCAGATGAAGTTTGGTGAATGGAAAAACTGTCATTTATGGGTGGGGCACAATATTTTAACCGTTTTTAGTATGGGTAGGTTATTATTGCAGGCACGTAATCACGTTAGGTTTGTGGATTTATGTATACTTAAAAAGGGTTGTTACGATATTTTTGTTATATATTTTTATATTTGTGTCAAAATGTTAATTTTAGGTGTTCTTAGTTTTAAGTTTTTTCATATGCACACTATCATAGTATATTATAATTGTATTGTTATTAGTCATATAAAATGTGTCCATTCTAAATGTTAAATAATTATATGTATATCAAGTTATATTTACTTATTATTAGATTAAGTTAATAGATAACATTTAGAATAGCATCCAGCTCAGTTTCATAGGAAGGTTTTTCTTTTGGAAAATGTTCTATAACACAAAACTAGGACGATAAAACAAGAGCATTTAAATTTCTAAATTTCTTAAGATAAGTATACACAAAAAAGATTAAAAAAAATGTTCCTTATGTCACATGCAATATTCATTCTGAAATAGAAATAGAATCAAATAAAGAAAGCCTCAGCCTTCCCTTTTTATGCACTAGCTACCAGTCAACCACTTTCTACTTGGCTGCAATTCTTGCTCGCGACCAACCATCTTTGTTTATACCTAAATTAATTCCTAAATTGTTTAATTTTTGCTAAGTATGTTGTAGATTAAAATTTGTTGACATTAATATTGAATTACTTACTTGGGATTTGGATGAAAAGGTGGAAACTTTGGAGAGTTGGTGGGAAGTATTTTTCAGTTTTGATGAAAAGGGTAATGAGAGGGGAAGTTCCTCTCTGGCCCTACACGTCTAAATGATCCATGAACTTTTAGAAAAGCTAAACCAACCAAAGTTGCTTAGAGTTGAAGCGTGACGCTAACGTAGAAACCAAACGCTAATTATGAGTGAATTTAATTAGTATACGTTTTGCAGGGGCTTCTTCAGTACTTTAACCTCGTGGAGGGCTGCTTAACAATGATAAGATCACACCAACAGAAGAACAACTTCACGTACGACTGGGTAGTTCGAACACGTGTAGACGGGTACTGGAACGCACCGTTGGGCCCACAAAACTTTGTTCCCGGGAAGTACCTGGTCCCACCGGGCTCCTCGTACGGCGGACTTAACGACCGTTTAGGAATCGGCGACCTCACTACCTCCACGGTCGCACTGTCGCGTCTCTCGTTAATTCCGCAACTCGATTCCGCGGGCTTCAACAACCTCAACTCGGAGGCAGCCTTCAAGGCCCAACTCACCACGCAGAATGTGACCCACGTGGCCAAACGACTCCCCTTCTGCGTCGTTTCTGACCGCCGCTACGATTTCCCCCCGGGACAGTTCGGCGTGCCGGTGGCGACGCTGTCGAGCCCCGGGCCGCTCAGCGGCGCAAAGTGCAGGCCGTGCACGGCGGTGTGCCAGGGTCTGTGCGTGGAGACCGTGATGGAGTGGGTGGAGAAGGGGTGGAGTTGGACGGAGTGGGAGAACGGCGTGCTTGAGCTATGCGACGCTCGCGAAGGATGGGAAAGTGGTTGGGAGAAGATTTTCGATGGGGTCGCCGGGAAGAAACTTGCGCGTATTAGGAAGGGAATCCAGTTTATGAAAATGGGAGAATGCGTTGAGGATTTTCAGAAGCTGAGAAAACGCAGTACGCATTGGAGTGCGCCTCCGGAGGATGAGATTTGTACATTCGGTTTGACTCCACACTGAACTTTTCACCCTTTTCTTTGTCCCAGGGTAGAAATAGGAAAAATATCTTAAATTGAAAATACAGGACATATAAAAAAATTGTTTTATGTTTATAAATCAGTTTTCTAAAATTTCTGAGTTCTTCTCCATCATCAAAACAATATTAGAAAATCCCATGAGATAAAAATACAGCATTTTTAATATTTAAAATAAAATAAATATAGCGCATTTATAAATTAATTGTAAATAACTATTACAAATATCTTTTATTATGGATAAAAATAATAACGTGTCTATAATATAATTGATATTTTGTAATAACTTTTTAATTTTTAATCATTATTTTAAAATTTATATTAAAAGTATTTTTTTATTGCTTAAGTGTAAAAAATTTATTACTAAGATCCATATTCATTAAATCTCTTATATGGTTTACGTTTGCCTCTAAAATATGTAGATTACAAATGTATTTCGAAACTATTGTCTAGTAATTAAACTGTTAATCTTGAGTTATATATTTAAAAATATGATCTTAGTTTAGATCATAATTAAGAATTGTTTTGGTAGATCTTTTGTAGGACCGAAACACTAAACATTTATGACGCTTAAATATTTAGTAAATTGTTATTACTATTGAATTGGTTTGATGAGCTTTTGCTCACAATTGAATATTTAATAAATTATTATCACTATTGAGTATTTGGATCTTTATAAAGCGTGATCTTTGATTATTTTATCTCTGAATTATTAACTCAATAACTTAAATGTTAGCAAACGCTGTTCACGTTTAACTTTATTGACGAGCTAACTGCTGCTACAGATCGGTCTTAGATACTAACAATTCGGCTTAGATATATACAAGAATTAATCAGAATTTATTTCCACTAACAAATGATACTAACAATTTTAACAATTTTAGTTTAGATATCAGTCGTTTAATTGATTTGTTCATACAGCTGTAATTAAAAAAAATGAATTGAATTACTTTTAACTAATTCAGTTCTTAAATTTATCTTTCTTAAAACCCAGATCAAATTGTTTCAAAAGTTGTACAATTATAAAAAAAAGAAGTTAAATTAATGGAAACCAGCACAGTACATGTAACAAAACTAGATTTGATTTAATCCTAACTCATCGATCATGTAGTCCTAAATAAGAGATAACAAAAAAATGAAAGATCTTTTGTCGGAAACTCTTCGTCATTCAAATGCGTGAAGTCTTCGTCATTCAAATGGGTGAAGTCTTCGTCATTAAAATGCGTGAAGGGTGTGGAATCAAGCTTACCTTAGATAAACTTAAGCTTATTTTTCCCGTTTATGACCCAAAATATTGATTATTCACTCCATACAACTATTTTTCGTGCCGGGTTAGCTTTCCTGGAATTCTAGCTTCTTTAAGCTAAAAATCAATTTAAAAGTTCACGAGCGGATGTGAAAAAAAGGTTAGTTGATATAAGCCAAGGTCAGTTTGAAATGAAAAATAAAATGTCATTAGAAAAATAAAATTCAATAATTAAAGAATGATCAAAAGAACATAAAAGACAAAACAGTGAACGTTTGTTAGCATCAAAATCATGACCCGTTTGAATTAGCTTTGTGTCATGCACGTACACAGTGCAACTAAAAGCAGTTGTGCTTTGTCACCCTCTATTCCACCACCTTTCAATAGTTTTTTCTTTGTCGAACACCGGTACATAAAATATTTTTTACAGTTACATATTATATCGGTTTTAAAGTAACAAATGTAACAAATATAAAAGATGATGCAGTGAGAATTTTATAAATAATACGAACCAAAAAAGCATAGAAAGTGAAGTGTTAACAATGTAATGAAAAAGTGAAAGACATCGTGTAACTAATATAATATATTAAATTCATCTTTTTGTTCTTGCCGCTTCTATTCATGTCCATTTGCAAACTATATCGCTTTCAGACTTTCTCGTCATCTCTTTTCTTTCTTCACTTCACTTTGGCACTTTGGAAAGTTTGGCACAAAACGATGGGGCCATTCGTTTGCTTTTTAAACAATGAAACGAAGGTGGCTTTGCCTTTTCTTCCTTTTGGCCCATCGTTCCCATCTCCCTCTCTTTCTCTAACCACCTTTACCTTCATTCATTTCACATCCTCACTTTGCAAATTACCACTCTGCCATCTTTAAGTTTAAAACAAGGTAGTAAGTACTGACTCTCTTCCATTTTTTGTTATTTCTTATTTAGGAATAGATAGTGATAAATTAGAGTTAAATCAAATCTGATTTTATTACTTTTACTCTGTTGGTTTGCATTAATTTAACTTTATAATCATACAACTTTTGAAACAATATATTATTTGATCTGGGTTTTAAGAAAGATAAATTTAAGAACTGAATTAATTAAAAATAATTTAATTCAAGTTGTTTTTTTTTAAGTTACAGCTATAGGAACAAATCAATTAAACGACTAATATCTAAACTAAAATTAATGGTATATTTTGTTAGTGGAAAGAAATACTTATTCATTTTGAATTATGGTCTAAACTAAAATTATATTTTTTTTAAAAATAGCTCAAGATTAACTCTAAATTTAATTACTCGACAATACTGTCGACATACCTTTAAAATCTACATATTTTACAGACGAAAATAAACATTATAAGAGATTTAATGAACCAACACCCTTATTATTACATATTTACACACACACACACACACACACACACATATATATATATATATATATGGTTACTGGATATAAGATTGGCCGGTGATATCTAAATCTCTGTCCCCAGATGAAGGGGGAGGATTGAGATTGGGCTTGATAGCGTCCTTATCAACGGGGCCATCAGCACTCTGACTGTCACTAGCCGGTGGCTTTGTAGGTTTCTCCGGTTGGCCTTTCTCGGTACCGTACATTCCGCCACCATAGGCACCGTGCGTCACAGGATCCATTTTTGAGATTTGGGGTCCCTCCCCCAATTTTTTCTCTTCCTTCTCTCTCTCCATTGACCACGCTTTCACTGAGTCTTCTCTTCATCTCTTCTCTTTATATTTAGAATCACAGATTTTTAGATCTTCATTTCGCCTTCTGTGTTTGACAAGTGTCTTTTTATTATATCTACGTGGCAGCACCTGTCCATGCCACGTATCCCATCTTCTCTTTCAATACCTTCAGCCCATCCATATCCATTCTTCCACTATTGTTATCTCTGTTCTCGATTATTTTAAAATATAGTTTTTTGTATAATAAGTTAAAATTTAATTGTAACAATATTTTATAATTGCAGAAAATTTGAATGAAGTTTATTTTTTGTTTTTGAATGTTAAACATGGAAATATAAAAACAATAGACGCAACAAAAGTCTTGGAAATTATTTAACAAATTCAGATAATAAAATGTAGACAGTTAAAATCGTAAAGTTATTTGTTATTTATTAATTTAATAAAAAGTTATTTCTGTCTATTAAAATTATAAGAGATACTAAAAATTTCCTTCTTTCACCCCTCTAAAGAACGCTGTTTTTCAACATTTTATAAAGGTGTTGTTCTTATCTTGTTTTCTTTTACAGATTTTTTTGGGTCATATCTTTTATTCTTCTTTTTATTTCCCAGGCCCATAATTTCTTTTTTTTTGGGCTTTGATGTCGTGCATCTGTTCACTTTCTTCCTGCACCCCAATAAATTTTAAAGTCCCCTTACTCTTATGAATTTATATTGAAAAAAAAAAGAATCAATCAGTTGACCTTCTTCTTCGTTCTACGCCTGGCTGCACCGAAATCCTCTCCATCTTCCTTCTACACCTTATTGCACTCAAATCTCTCCACTTTAACTACTTTCTTCAACATCGTTTATTATTTATATTAAAAAAATAGTTAAAATGGAGAAATGATTCAACCTTATGTTTTAACTATCAAGTACAAAATACCATTGTTATATAGTAGTTGTTTTCTATATATAATAAATTAAAATAACCTTTTATTTTATTTTCTGAAAAGAAAATATACGAGAGAAAATTCAAAATAAAATTATGTAAATAGTTTCTTCCCATTTGTTAAAATTTAATGTCTTCACATTTATTTTGATCTGAAAACCATTTTATTTTCTAAAAAAAAGGAGGGATTATTTTCATGTGCAAAAAAAAGCTGGGTATAGCCGTTTGACTTTAGAAAAGATTTGAGCGATATTTTTGGAGGATTCTTGGTTTCCACATTATCTTCTTAGAAATGATAAACGGCGCGTATAATTAAGCAAGGCGTGCATAATCTTCTAGGGTTGGAGTTGGAAGACGAGAAGATGTGCGTAATTACAACAAACACGCTTTCAATTAATGCAAAAATTAGAGAATCATTAAAGATTCCATTTCATCCATGTATCAGACATTACAGAAGAAACCACGCCGACGCACGCGCTTCTTTTCGTGATCCAGCTCCAACTTGTATCACTGACAGCTACTTACAAACATTTCTTTCTTCCAAAACAATAACATAACATCTTCAACTTCAACACAGTAATTTTGCTTTTTCTTTCTTTTGAGATTGATTTCCCTTACTATCTTCTACACCAAAGAAGAAATTGAAGAACAAAAAAGCTAAAATATTTATTTGGAGACGTGCACGTGTATTTACAGAGACGAAGAATATAAAAAAGCAACTTTGAGAAAGAATAAAAAATTAACAGAATAAACTATTATTATACATCGTTATATAAATACTCAAACGAAATCACACGAAGCACCCCAAAATACACGAAGCTTCTCTCTATTCGCTGAGAATAAGATTGAAATAGAAATAAAAATGGTAGGCGTTTTCCGGCGCTCCCTCTCCTTCCCAAACAAAAATCCGAACCGTCCATCACAAAAACCCCACATATCCCACCACATCAGGTCCATCAGTCTTCCCTGCAGATCCCACCCTCTGATCTCCGAGATCAGGGACGAGATCAACGGCCTCAGATCGTGGGCCTCCACTTCCAAAGCCCAACAACAAAGTTGCACGACCCTTTCTCGGGGCTTGACCCTTCTCAAGGACACCCACGAGACCCTTCAACACATACTCAACCTCCCCCAGACTCTAGAATCCCTCCGAAACCATCCTATCTGGCTCCACAACCTTCTAG